AGCCACCACCGCCGCCCCTCTCTGGGAGGAAAACACGTCAGAAACAGAAACCTCATTCGACACGCTGTATACCACCCCCTTAACCAAAGCACCCGAACGCGACTCAGAACTATCCACTTCCACCCCCATAAATGTTTCAAGCTGCTGCGCTTTGGGGCACTGGGCCCTCGTCCGACAAACCACCATTAACATACCAGGAAACACTACGGTAGCATGTATCACATCCCCAATCACTGTACTGATCTCCCTGGACACCGTGAACGAGTTAGACGTTGCAAAATGCGCACTAGCCACCGCCCTGATGCGGACCACAAAACTGCCCTCCGCCATACTCTGCTGCTTTGCCTGCGCTTCCCAATCACTGTCTGAGGCATCACTGCTATCCGCATGGTCTCTCTTACCCGCCCCAGACCCCGCCAGAGAATCGGCCGCCCTCGCCTTTCCAGCTCCCTTCTTCCCCATTCACCACCGCAAACGTGTCCGACTCAGCAAAGTTGAGCCGCCGCCTTACCAGGCCCGTACAGGCCGTCGGCCGACCACCCAAACCTGCCTGTCAAGTCACACACAGCCACCACAGCAATCAGCTGGCCAGCCCGGCTCCTCCCCCTTCCTCTTGGCAGCTCTCCCTTTTATGTTGCTCAGGAGGTGATTAGTCCAAGTGAGTGCAGCTTTACAGGCAGGAGGAGGAGGCCAAACACTGATTGTCCTCTGCAGCATCAGATTTCTGGGACAAACAGCAACAGATGTAACATACACAGGTGGCAGGAACACCCAGTCACACATTAGCAAGTATTAGTAGAGCCAATAGATGGGCTTATGGACGGTTCTAATGGGAAACAAGCTTCAACACAAGTGGTTGTTTTCCGCTTGATCCTAGTGCTCAACCAGAGTCTATTTACTATTGCGCAATAGTGTTTTTGGATGGTTAAAAGGGCAGGGGACAAAAGTTGACTTTGGAAAAAGTGGGGGAGACATGTGGGCAGCAAGGAGGGGGCTTGGTCAGGTCCGGGAGAGCTGAAGGGGCCAAGAGAGCGAAATCCATTTTGTCCAAAAAAGGTGAGGCGGATGTGGATGTTGGTGAAGGCAGGTGAGCGGCTGAGAGCGGGCGGCCAGGGGAACAGCAGTGTGAGCTGTAGTGCAGGAATCCAAGCTGGTTATGTAGACGAGTGGAGATGGAGTGGTAAACCTGGATGAGAACAGGGGAGAACTGTCTGAACTTTCAGGCGACATGTTTTCTAACAAGATTAACAAACTTGAGACAGGTCAAGTGGCTAGAGCTACCCGAACAGAGTAATCATCCGGCATGGAGTTGTGTCACACTGCTCCTTAAATCCGCTGGGCCTTGATGACAGGATCAGCTGCAGCTGGTTGCTCTCAGACACGCCCACCTGCAGGCAAGACTCAGAGAACAAACTTGATTACTGGCAGGCAGCTCACCACGGACCATGACACCATCCACAATCCACAGAGCATATAAACCAACGGTCAATACCAACAAGAGTTCCATCCTTTGAAGGCAATGAGCACACACTTAGCTGTTTACAAGTTGCATCGCATAAAACATTTAACTTATTAAGCTTTCCAAGACGATGGTGGCAGAGGAGTTTAGTGCCCATCTTGTTATTAGAGGGTTGCAGGATTGAGTCCCGCTCAGTCGGTCGCAGTCATTGTGCCATTGATCAAGATGCCTTGACTGCTGGTGGAGGTTGAGCAGACTGCTGGTGCCAGTGTTTGGCAGATTCACTTTCTTCAGTGCACCCCAGGGCAGCTCTGGCTAAGTTGTAGCTGTTAATACCAACGTGTGACTGTTTGTGTATGTGAATGAATGGATGAATTGTGAAGTGCCTTGCGGGGGTTGTAGCCCTCTAGAAGGCACTATAGTCATACAAGCCATTTGCCAAGCCTTTTTAATGTCCAAGAACATTGTTATGAAACAGAAATCACTGATCAAACACAAATGTCCACACATGTTTGGCTAAGTGTAGTTCTAAAGCTGCTTTTAGGCCCTATGATGAGTTTTAATGTGAAGTAGTGCTATAAATATAAATCGAACTGAACTGGAAGGGGTTTCATTAAAGAACTCACACACAACAACAAGTCTCATTAAAAGATCTGATTCTTACTTGTGAGTATTTGTTTTTCATGGATGTTTGTGGAGTCATAGAATCAAAACCTGGATTATGTAAAGTTAAAACAATGGATTAGTAATCTTAAATGGGAATCTGTGAGGTAATATAAAATCACAATCAATCACATTTCATCTAAATGTACTGGAAAATAAAGGTTGTGTAGCCTTCAGAGAAATGTTTAAATAAACATTAGCTTTATTTTCTGGGCTGATCCTGTGTTAGTAAGGGGCAATCGCCAGTATACATGTACATGAGCAAGCACGCATGATGGCGCCTGTGATTTTGGCCTGCTGTAATGATCTGAAGTTGTATTTTTATACACTGTAATTAGATCTAAGTAATTAATCAGAAGTGGTCGTTTTTATCATCAGGGAGTTTAATTAAACACTCTGTATTGATTGAGAGACAAGAAAAGAGAGAGTTGGAATCGTTTAAGAATCTTTAATTTCTATAATTATAAATTCTTACAATCTACCAGGACTATCTCAATGATGGATGCATATGGATTTGGATGTTTCGTGTTGGTGTGTGTGTGTGTGTGTGTGTTTTGTTCAGAATCTCTAGGCCGAGTAGCGAATCTGGTTGTTATGACTAGGCTACCACGAGGCTTCAGAAGCTGATGACATGATCCACCATTTTGCCGTATTTACGTACCCAGTGGTGGAGCCTCCCGTGTTAGATCAGGAATTGCCAGGTCCTCGGACCTTCAGATGTACTGGAGCTGGTTGAACCAGCGGTCACAGCACACAACGCCCGTCTGAAGGGTCAACTCAGGTAGCATCGGCAGGCGTCAACAAGTTCACTCTTATTTTGAAGGAACGTCGTCTCGTTGGTTCAAACGACGGAAATCTCCAGCTTGATCGTTCTCAGCTTAAAATAGAAAGTACAGCTGGCCAGTCTGTACTTCTCTTTTGGCGGTGATGGATTGAGAGCTGGTTGAAAACAATGTTGAGAGTATGATGTAACTCCTTTGGAGCTCGGATCGAACAGAGCTGATGTTAACGTGGAACTGACTATAAAATGGCGTTGCCTTATTTTATATCCCCTAATTGTTTACAAATCTCAGTAAACCGGATTGGACGACTTTCATTAAACAACCCAGATTCTGCCCTACCACAGACGAAAGTTCTGATTGGTTGAGAATAATGTGTCATGCGTTTCCATGGTAATGTAGATCAGTCTGTCTGGTGCAGCCCTGTTTATTCATTTAAACACATAACTCATGACAACTTTAATTCACAGATCATTCACCTGATTATTAATGATCAACATATGCTTTGATTAGCTTATCACAAATAAAGTACTTTGATTAATTAATGAAAAGTGATCTTCTTCTCTTCTTCTGTCTCTTCTCCTGGAATGTAAACATACTGAACCAAGCGTCCGACCTTGGCGATGTTACTGTGTGAAGGGGCAGCTGTTAAGGGCAGACCATTATAAGATTCATAACGCTACACTGCCGTCTACTCTTCCTGCTTATTTTGTTGTTTTTTCTGTTCCCAAGCTGTCTGCTGGTGGTTTCTAGTTCGAGTATTACCTATGATCGACTCACCCTTCTGGGTTTGATTCTAGGGCCACTCCTATTCTCGATTTACTTATTGCCTTTGGGGATGATTCTGACTAACCTTGGAATAAGTTATCACCTTTACGTGGACAATTGCCCGATTTATCTGGCTTTAAGTAAACCTGACTCAACACGCCTCCTTGCCGACTGTATTACTGCAGTTCAAGGCTGGCTGTCGGAGAACTTCCTTTGCCTTAACGAAAACAAGGCCAACGCCATTCTTTTTAATCCAATAAATCCAAAGCATGCATCTGGTGACTACCCTCTACCGTTTTTAAATCTTAAATCCTGTGTATCCAGTCTGGGAGTGAAACTTGACTCTGATCTGTTAATGAGTTCACAAATTAACTCTACAGTCCAGTTCTGCTTCTTTCAACTTTGTCGCATCTCGCGCTTAAAGTCAATAGTCAAACTACCTCAGCTGGAGTCTGTTGTTCACGCCTTTGTAACTACACGTTTAGAATATGCCAATTCACTACTTGTTGGTGTCAGCGCCTCTGCAATCGAGCGTCTACAGAGAGTGCAAAATGCGGTGGCTAGGTTCCTGACAAACACCTCGAGATGCTGTCACATTTCACCCGTCCTTGCACGCATGCACTGGCTGCCTCTTAAATACCGCATCCAATTTAAGGTTTTGACCTTTGTCTATAACATTCTGAATGGTCAAGCCCCGGCTTATCTTTCAGAAGCCTTATGCTCCAACCAGAAACCTGAGATCTGCAGATCATTTGCTTTTGTGCGTCCGGAAAATGAGGTATAAATCTCGTGGAGAGTGGACCTTTGCGTTCACTGCTCCTAAACTCTGGAATGCTCTCCCCCTTAGTGTTCGACAGGCCCCAGAACTGGGTCGATTTAAGTCGGTACTGAAGGCCTTCTTCTATCATTTAGCTTTTATTCAATGATCTAGTTTTTAGTGTTTATACATTTTATTGTGGCTCTGTATTTTATTGTTGTATGTTTCTTTTACAATTTTTTAGATTTTACTTCTTACCTCCTATATGACTTTTATCTGTTTTTATCTTGGGGTTTGTCCTTTTAACTGTACAGCACTTTGGTCAGCTGTCATGCTGTTTTTAAATATGCTATATAAATAAACATGGTATGGTATGGTATGGTTAGTTATGGTTGTGACTAATCAGTGTTAGACAAAAACAAGGTAACAAATCTAATAATTGAATAATTTAAGTCATTATGTATGTATTTAAATATCCTGATGAAGATCATTTTCAGAACTAAAAAAGAAAATATTTCACAATTTAAAAACACAGAAATCAAAACATGAAAATAATAAGCGATATATTCAAAAGTTCTCTTTAAAAACAATATTTTTATTATTGTATTTTATTGGTATTGTTATATACATGGCATTATTTGTGCTTTTTTAATCATCAAGAATAAAACCATAAGGGAAAAGATCAAAAAGTTAAAACTGAACATTTAAACCAGGACAGAACTGTTCTTCATTTTCTGTTGGATATTCGGAAAGTTCTTTAAAACTGAAGATATAAAGGCAGGAAAAACTAAAATAAAAACAAAGAACCAAACAGATAGGTAGGTTGGTTGATAGGAGATAGTTCAGAGACACTTGCAGATGGTCCACTGAGGGTAGTGTGAATCTTCAGTTTGTGATGTGCTTTTACCAACAGCAGCAAAGGCACCTGTGGATAACTTTGTTTTCAAAGAAAGAATGCCTCAGGGCCTTGTTCCATTCACAAACAACCAAAATCCATCCACTGATTCTCTCAGAAGGTTATTACCATACAGATATGCAGATTTACTCTGAACTTCAGCTATTGCAAAGATTGGGTTTTGTGTCAGGAGACTGGAGGACATTACTCTGACCCCAGATGTTAAACTAACATCTTATTAAGATTCAGTTGTTTCTGAAAAGAATTGTGATGTGAGAATAGGGGGATAGATTTCCTGATAGCGTGGGATGTCAGGAGGAGAGTCAGGAAGGAGGATGTAACAAATAGGATGTGGAAATAACATCAAGATGTGTCATTTAGTGATTGATGGGTAAAAGATGAAAGATGTGACAAGAAGGCAGAATGACTTTTTACTGATGGAACAAAGTCAAGAGAAGGGAGAGGAGTTCAAAGGTGAGGAAAGACTGAAAAGAAAAGTGAGCAAAATTTAGAAAAAGTGTTTGAGAAGAAAGAGAAAGTGGCTTTTAATGAGAGCAAAAAGGTTTTCATACAATGTGTAAAAAAATGTTGCAGAGAAAAAACACCGGATGATGATGTAAAATACTAAATGGATCTGTTGTGCAATGAGTTTACCTCGGCCAGACAGCAACATGTCCTTTGATAAAACAACAATCCTGGATATATGATTCATTTGCTTTGTTGTTTTTTGTAAATAATTTTCTCTTATGTGGTAGAAAACAGCATCATTTACCCAAATGAAAATGTTCATAATCGAAACAAACAACAGCGAGGAAAGGGACATTTCTGCAAAATGTACAACTATAATATCAAAGATAGATAGTTATACCAGTCCAGTGGCAATGCAGACAGACCAGTTTAAATGTTTTTCCCTACTTTGGCAGACATTGATGTATAAATAGAATTATATTTTCTTATCAGCCAAGTTCAAAAAGGTGCATAGACAGAAGAAAAATCTTTGAGGACATAAAAAAAAGAGCTGAAACAAATTGTGGAAAGACTAAAGCAGGTATCTCACTGAGCTGCAAGATTAGTTGGAAATGCACAGACTTGGTACTTTTATGAGTAAAAACTACAAAACATGGCAAGTCATAATGTTTCTGTCCGACAGTAAAATCACAAGATAATTATTTATTTCTAACCAGTAAAGATTGTGTTATATGATGGCCCACCTGAAAAATTTCTCAGGCCATGTGCACATGCAGCCGTGTTTTTGTTAATCTTCCATCACCCATCTAGGAAAAAAACCTGGGTCCACTCCACCACCGTTTGAGAAAAAACGTTTTTGGCACATTCATAGGAATCCCAAGCTTGTAGGCAGCTGACAATTGTCAGTGTCAAAATGCTTGCTGGACGTAATATAAACTGGGGGCAGGGAATAACAGTCCGTAAAGTTTTTCCTAGCCTGTGGTCTTCTAAAATAGGAGGATCTTTGTTCACATATTTTTTCATCATTGTGTGAAAGTGCTAGTGGCTGTGTGGCAAAACACACTGCTATCAATACGTAACGTACACTTTCAAGAAGGTTTGCAAGCAAAATCCCCAATATATAAAATATCATCTAAAGACTGATGCTTAGAGAAAAGCCTAAAATCTGAATTGAAGACAAATTTCAAGTTATTAAAAGCTTGTTTCAGCTCTGGGATGATGACAAATTTTGGTCTGATGTGCTGATGTTTTTTCTTCATATCTGCTGGTGAGACATTTTTTCCTAACAAAGATGTGGCAAGAGAGTTTGCGGGCAAAATCCCCAATACACAAGGACTTTAACATCTGAAGACGCAAGGAGGTTTAGAGAATGGCCTAAAATCCGTATCGATGACAAAATTTAAGTTATTCAAGTTCCATATGAGGTCTGGGATGACAAAGAACTTTGGTCCGATTCACTGATGTCTTGGCCACAAATCTGCTGGGGAGACATTTATTCCCAATTAATAGAAAGCCCTGGAGCCCTCACTCATGAACACTTAAAGGCTTTCAAAAGTATGGGGGCCTACGATTTTTTTTTCAAGGAAAGTTGTACCGATCTCTTCGATAAAACAGAAAGCCGTGGTCATGCTATTAGTAGGAGTCAGCCCCTAATGAGCAGAGCAACAGCGTTATTTACATCAGCTGTGGGTGGTGGTCAAAGAAAACGGATAAAGCTTCACTGTGACCACAAAGCTGGGTAAGTCCTCATTAATCAGTGTTCTTATTTCTTTATTTATTTATTAGTACAGTGATCGCAGGTTGAGACTCCTGAATCCAACTGCGAAAACAATATGACTCGGTGAATTTAAAAATACACGAAGATGATTAAAAAATTCAATTCAATTCAATTCAAAAACATTTTCTCTAATAAAAAAAATGCTGAGTCACAAGGAAACACCATGAACAAAATTAGCCTCAAACTGCCTGATACTGCAGGAATCCAGGCTTTCTTCAGAGAGTGCAGGTTGTTCGCTATCATCTCTTTCGTATTTTGCAGTTGTTTACAGAGGAAATTCCACTAAAAGCCTCCCACGGGCCGAACAATCAACCACACAGCAAGAATGATCCATCTGCTTTGCTAAATCCTCCGTATGTGCAAAACATTATAATTATATTCAAAATACGTTGTTTCTTGCCACACAATCCCGTGATGCAATGTGATAATTACAAACATTGACAAGAGATCCTCCTGTAGAGAAGTGTTTGATCTTGTAAAAACAAGTGCAAGTAAACACAGGTCGCTCATGTGATGTCAGAGCACTTTTGTCACGGGTGTCGGGTTACGATTAGAGATGTTGTGGTTTTTATTGTCAAAAAAAATTAAATGACGCAGATGCTGACAATGGAGAATTCAAAAGTCTCCACATTGATCAGATTTTATTGAAATAAAATTTTGGGGTGGTATCTTCACTTTCACGTGGATAACAAGCCAAACCGTGACAAAGTATCTTCCTTTCGTAGGATCCACGGCTACGTGTGTACAGGGTCTCATACTCTTGGCAATTTCAGAGTCACTGAAACTTATTTGAAAAAGTACCAGATGAGTTTCAAAAACAGTGGCAATTGTTTTCCCAAAGATTTCCCAAATGTACTAAAAAATTTCAGTGACGTACACAAACCTTTGCAAAAATGTTTAGATATTTTCTAAACTCTTCCATAAATGATGTTTGCATTATTTCATCAACATCTGAGACCCAGTGAGATTCAAGCTTTTGGAGGCACTCAACTGATAAAAGGAAAAAAAAACAACTTCTTTTTTTTTTACTTTGGGGAAAAGAACTCAAAAGATATAAGTGGACATAAAAGATCTGAAAACTTATAAAGGAAACATAGCAGGTGAATCCAAGGTTTAAGCACAATTACTTGCATTAGTTATTGAATAAAAAGTGGGTTGAAGGACACTGTCACTATCAAGTTTAGACTAATGCAGAAGGATCACATCCTGTAACAATGTTGGTTTGAAATAGTGTAGGGAAGGGAAGAGGGGGAAGGCCTTTCTGGTATAGATTGGTCCGTTAGGTAGCGTCAGCTTCCCACAAGACAAAGTCATTGTCTGATTTAGTTCTTAGCTACCCATCGGGCTAAGCCAACATGTTCACTCTTGTCTGGTACCACAGCCAACTGATAAGTTAATTCCATCCATTTCCTGGTAGAATTGAAAGTCCACAATCGTTTTAAAAACAAACAAAACGTAAGAAGGAAGAGAAAAGCTCATTTTCAGGGAGGTTTTGGTCAAACAGTGAACACAAAAAACAAATCCCAAGAGCAAAATCTGACTTTCAAACTGTTCTGGCTGTAACTAAAAGGGGCAGACAACCAGCACGACCCCCAGAACAAGACCGCTCGTTTTGTCCAGGAGTTGTTCTAGTACAAAACCTTTTGTGTCAAGTCATCCATCCTTTTTACTGGCATTGGCCACAGACCAATCCTTATTCATTTGGTTGGAGTGCTGGCTATGGCCTCACACAGACTGTAGTCCATGTTGATTCAGTCCTCTAGCTTGCATTAGTTTTGTATGAAGCCACAGCCTTTGTCGATTCAGTCTCTTAGCAACCATCAGCTACAATACCATTTGATTGCTGAACGTGCATGAACTTCTTGCCATGCGTTTTTCCGTGTTGATTCTGCCTTTTAGCTGGCCTCAGCGTGTATCCAACATATAATCCATGATGATTCTGTAGTCTGTTGGCTAGCATTAGCTTCAAACTCTTCAGTCTGTGTTTCTTAAAAGCCTCTCATTTTCAGCTCCAGAGACAAAAGTTACTGGTGGTTTGGCAGGTGGAGCCTTTCTCCGCTGGGGACAGGTAGAGCTTGCCGTTAGCACAGGCGCACAGCTCGTACACAGTCTGTTTGGTGTAGGTGGTGCCTGCAGGTGCCCCTTCCAGTGGGTCTACAGAGCTACCGAGGGGAATATTGCCCAGCTTGATGGTGTTGGCATCTAGAAAGATCTGTGAAAACAAATCAGATCAAACAGGCGTGTTTTATTCAACAATGTAAAAACACGAGAATAAACACATGTGCTGATGCAGCTGTAAGAGGACTGAGCTCACATGGACTGTTCTGATGCCTGAAATCACACACACACACACACACACACACACACACACACACACACACACACACACACACACACACACACACACACACACACACACACACACACACACACACACACACACGTTCATGCACACTTAAACAGCATGGGAAACAGTGGGGGGAAAATCCAGTTTTTGGTACAGAAGAAGAGCGCACATTGCTGTAGGCAGACTATACTCTGTGGGTGAACAAAATCTACGGAGAAAAGAAGGGAAATCTCGGTTTAGAAAGAATTTCTTTTGATGAAGAGGGGGAGTAGGAGTGAATGAGGGAGAGGGTAAATTGGGTGAAGACAAAGGTAAGAAAATCTGTGGAGATGAGTGAATGTGAAGGCAGAGAAGATTCAGAGGAAATATACCCTAAAAATATGCACTTGTTTTTATCCCCCCCCCCCCCCACACACACACACACACACACATATAAACAAGTTATTAATTAGTTTTAACTTAAGTTTCAGGATCAACGTTCAGAATAAACAAAGTTAAGGTACATAGTAATTTCAAACATTATTGAAAACATGTTTTTTAATAATTTCTACCCTTTAATAAAACCAATTATTGTGTTTTTATATCTTTGGAAACCTTGTGTGGTCAAAATCTTAAATCAATGGCTAGTAGCAAAAGGAATCCCTAGAAAAACACCAAAACACACACACACACACAGGCGCACACACAAACAAACACACACATAAACACACACTCAAATTTGATTTAATAGTGTTTTTTTTCTCAAAATCCTGAGTTTGCAATGTCAGAAAATATCTCATTTTTTAAATGATTAATTTCTACCTTTGATCATGGAACACTGTTAGATAATGAACTGGCACTGTGCTTTGACCGATTGGGATTTTACTTTTTGATTTATAGTAGCCACTTTTATTATGATTGTAATTAACATTTTGTGACTATGTAAAATAAGTTTTTTTTCCTAGGTTGTGTGCCACCCTTTTCCAAATTTGCCCCCCTGCCTGGCTCCCCCTTGCAACAAAAACTTTCTAGACACGCCACTGGGAAAGGTCAGCAGATGTCAAACCCTGATCCTTATAAGGCCGTGTTACATACTTCAACATGGCCTACAGTGTGAAGCTGTAAAGATAGCCAATGTGATGTTTTACCTTATTGTTGTGGGAAAGTGAAATCATCACCAAGTAACTCAAAACAAGAGAAATACCAACAGCAAATTATTGCTACTCAAAAAAACTGTACAAATAAGGAGGCAGACAGACACGACTAATGAATAAAATGAGAAAAAGGTTCATGTGATTTGAATGCTTGGCTGAATAGGTGATGAAAGATCTTTACACAACAAAACTCCAGTTTGTTGTAAACAAGTTTAACAGAAAACACAATTTTTAACAGTTTTCGCAGGTTGAATGAAAGACAAAATTAATTTCATAGATGTAGCTCCCAGGCTGCTTTGTATTAGCTTGCTTTTAGCACCCCCTAGTGTCTGTTTGTAGAACCAAAACTTATCTCTTCACGTTCGTCTTTTTAACAGCTTAATCTAACAGCTGAAACGTCTCCCCAGCCTTCCTTAGTGTGTACAGGAATGATTCACTACTAAATTAAATTAGATCGGTTCATGTTGTAAAATGTGCAGGAAACATGTTGGAACCAGACTTCAGCGCCAGGCGTGTCAGCTCAATTTTTTTCCCAACAGAGCGACCCGCCAGTCAGAAGTTGCAAGTGCAATATTCTGGCCACAGGGGGTGATAGGGGCTGGGTGGCCTTTCATCAACTTTCATTATTTTCAAACTGGTACAAACAGCAGTGGGAATCATTCCTCAGTCTTGGTTTCAGTTGGCTTGCCTTGCACTTATTTAAGCCTGGTTTATGCTTCTCCGTCAGCTCCGCAAGGGACAGACACGCACGGATTGACGGAAGCGTTTTGCTCTTTTACTTCTCCGTCTCCTGGAGAGCGTTGCAAAGCAATTGCCCGGCAGGACAACAGAGGGCATAGCGCTGTTCTTTGGTATCCTGTCATGTATCGGTCCAAGATCGTGTGTTTATTTTGTGTTTTTTGTGTATATAAGAGACTTTTAACACGGACATATTTGTCTCTCATTCTCCCACCGCTTCATGCGCTCCCCACCTCTAAACCCACGTTTCCTGTCATTTCCGTCCACAAATAAAACGCTTGCTGCGCATCTTTTCACTCCTCCAGTCACGGGAGAATTAAACGTTCATGTTTTTAGAGTTTTTTCGCGAGGTATTCTTCAAGCTTCTCCGTGTCTGCCGCTAGTTAAACTCGGCTCTCTTTGCAATGGCGCCGCTGTAAACAACAGCGGCGTCCTGACCAATCACAAGCTTGCGTAATCCGTCTCGTTCGACGGATGTTTAAAAAAGTGGGCTCGACTCCGTACGTACTTGCGTGCCCTACGCAAGGACGGATAATGGCGTTGCGTGTCTCCGCACTGACGCAGACGGAGAAGCATAAATCAGGCTTTACTCTTCAGTGCTCGATCAAGTTTTACTTGTCTTTTTATTTCTCTCTCCAACCTTTTTTTCTTCTCAGTGCGCATTTTCTTTGACATGCCTAAGGCCGGCCAGTTATCTTTAAAGACATTTGTATCCCCATTATTCGTGTTCTCCAATTTAAGAAAGAGTGTGAAGAAGTAAAATTTGTAAGGAAAACATTGTGTGTGCACAGAAAGGAAAAAGAGAAGCTTCAGGGGAGAATCTGATGGAAAAATGTGAGAAAGATGATGGTGAGAAAATGTCAAATCAAATGGTTGGCTGAAAATGGGCAACATGAGGATAGAGGGAAGGAGATAAGATGGATTTTGGAGACAAGAAGTTGAAAGATAGCGGGGGCCGGAGACTGAAACAGTTAGCAGTCAATTTGTTTAACTAATGATTTCACATTGGCTGATAAAGCACGTCACAGTGTGTGTAAACAACTCAGCAACACACACATAGCCTTTGGATTGTTATTTTTTCACCAAAACACAACTGAGGAGAATCTAGATCAGACTGTGGAAACCTGAAAGATGTTGACAACATTAAGCCACTATATCAGTAGGCAGCAACTGTTTGTGTGAAATCTTAAGCAGCATTCATAAGAAATTCCTAATCATCTTGAAAAATTCACAAAGAGGAGTTGGTGACTAATTTTCAAAAAACAGAAAAAGATGCAAAGAAAAATAAATGAAGTCAGGAAAATTTGAGAAATTGTTACACTCTTTGTGACAAATTGCCAACTAAATATTTTGCATGGCTGACACGAAAATATCGCTAATTATTTTCACTGATTTAATAAGCCTAAACCCCAGGTTACATTACAGGATTTTTAAAGGTGTGGAACACACTAGGGATGCAACGATACCACTTTTTTCCAAACTGATACGATACCGATACTTGGATCTGGGTACTCGCCGATACCGGTTACCGATACCGATACTTCTACCACACAAAAAAATGCAATGATTTGGAATGCAGATCTTATTTTCTTCTTGGCTTTCAACAGGAAAAGACTGTGAGGTAGATAAAAAGTGAAATATATGAATAGAAATCATCACAAAACTAAAATATTAGGTGAACAGAAATGACAAGTTACAGTGAAGCCATTTGCAAGCAACTGCATTGGTATCGGTTCTTGGTATCGGTTAACTTTTACCGATACTGATACTGGTATCGGTATCAGTGCATCCCTAGAACACACAAAATGATTATTCCTCATTATAATAGGTCACTCTGAGGTTTTCATGAGGGCAAAACATGAAAATAAGTCTCCTACACCTATCTCCTGCATTAGCTTCTAAAAATAGACAGTGAAAAACCTGATAGATCTACTTCACACTGTAGTCAACGTTCATGGACTCACCCATTTTGACTTGCGTTGGGGAAGCCTGTTGTTGGCTTATCATTCAGGAAACAGAAGATACTGTCTCAGCTAATAGAAGCTAACTGTTAGCATTAGCAACGCCATCACACAGCAGAACTCCTACAGGCTTACTAACAGACTTGGGCAAGAGAAACTTGGTCGGAGGGACCGGTGGGGCCAATGTTCAGCAGGCCTCGCCTCTGTCAGTGCGCCCGAGGGCAGCTGTGGCTATATCGTAGCTCATCCCCACCAGCGTGTGAATGTGTCTGTGAATGGGTGGACGACTGATGGGGGAATGTAGAACTCTAAGAAGGCCAGGGCGGTCGTAACACATCACACAAGGTAGGATTATCTGATAAGATTATCTTTAGAGCTGTTACTGTATTTGTGCACATCCTTAAGATTGTCAGAAGGGAAGGAACGGGTCAAAAGTCTGCATGATTATCCTGCTGTGTGAAACAAGCTTAACATGACCTGGCCAAATGTAAAAATTATTTCTATAGCTTTGCACAAAGCAGATCAGGGTGGCTCCAACTAAAAGTTTACATTTTAGTACACAATTTAGTGTCTCTAAGAAATCACCGGCAATCACATCTCAGTGGGATTCTGGCTTAAATGAGTTGTGGTCATTTTGTTCTCACTTAAATCAGTGCCTGTTAATGTAGGGAGCTTAGATTAAACATGCCATTAGTATTTCTCTGTATTTTGTGTTTTCAGCTTGTCGACGACTTTTGCCGCCCCGTGAGTTTATTTATTTAAGCAGATGCATCGCTACCGCTAAAGATTCTCAAACTATTATGTTTTCTAAATTGGGATCTTCCATTATTTTCATCTTTACAGTTGTGCAAATGTTGACTCTATATAGAATGTATAGAATTTAACTATTTTGCTGCATCTGTCCAGATTTTGAGTGCACAGGAATGAGAACCCAAAGAACAAATTTCTCTGCAGGATTTTGTTCTGCAGCACACTGGTCCATTTTGGTGATGTTGTTACCAAAGTCCAGGATAATCTTATTTAAATTGGACAG